ACTGAGGAGCTGTATGTCCGGTTTCGCTTTGGGAAGGCTGATATAGAGTACCTTGTGAACCTTCTCAGGCCAAAACTTCAACACAGAACCCAAAGGAGTCACGGTCTGTCTGTGGAAGACCAGATCCTCATTGCTCTCCGATTTTATGCATGTGGGACTTTCTATCAAGTTGTTGGTGACTATATGGGAGTGGTGAAATCAGCTGTGTGTGATGTGGTAAAAGATGTGTCAATCGCACTGGCCAGCCTGGTCAATTAATTTGTTTCTTTTCCAAAGGACAACCAGATTGCCCAGGCCAAGCGCAGCTTTTTTCTTTTGGGGAATATGCCCAATACTATTGGAGCAATCGACTGCACACATGTGCATATACAAGCACCTCGTGAGAATGAATGGGAGTTTATAAACAGAAAGGGGAGGCACAGCATCAATGTCCAACTTGTGTGTGATGCTGACCTCATCATCACCAACTGCGTTGTCAAGTGGCCTGGGTCTGTCCATGATGCACGCATCCTGAGGGAGAGCGCTCTATATAGAGACCTCCAAACCAACCGACCGGATGGCGTAATATTAGGAGACAGTGCCTACCCACTCCTACCATGGCTGATGACTCCTTTTCTAACAGCAAATACACCGGCGCAGGCACGCTTCAACACTGCTCATTGCAGAGCAAGATGTGCAATTGAGCGTTTAAATGGAGTTCTTAAGAGGCGCTTTGCATGCCTTAACTACCTGAGAGCGGAACCACAGAAAGCATGCAACATAACCCTTGCCTGTATTGTCCTGCACAACATCGCTACTAAGCGCAATGTCCCTCTCTGTGCTGACAATGATGCACCTGAGCCCCTTGGAGACCCTAACCAACCTCCTGCATTCTGCCAGAACGAGCAAACAGGACGTGCAACAAGGGACGCAATAGTTAGACACTATTTCTGATTTGGATTTGTTTTGGATTTCAAAAATCAGTGATTGCCATTCTTTGCATTTTTTTGGTTATTCTGTAATCATTGCATGCATCACTAATAAATATTCTAAAAACAAAAATATTTTAGTTTAGTGAACATGGTATTACCGGCATTGAGCATGATTGATTCAATTGAACAGAAGCCAAAGCACATCAGCTAATTGATGTTTAATTGGTGTGTGTTTAAAAAAAAAACAATTACACAGCCATACTATTTAGCCTTTCCCTGCACTTTCAGTGCTGGGTTGCATCAGGATGGGAATCCGCTGTAAAACCTTTGCAAAATGGCTGTGCAGATAATTCCGCTCTGGCAACACCTATGGGAGCAGCCAAAGGAGAGAGAGAGATTGTTCAGCCTTTCTTAAAATGCTTACAGAGAGGCACTGACATGTCAGGTATTGTTGTTCGCCACCACTATTTTGGTAGGAGAGGATACCATCAAAGGGCTTATGTTGAGCACACAAAACCACTGGAGCAATACACCATGAACTCTACACTGGATTTTGCTTTGGTAATACTGATATTAAGAAAAATGCAGAACTTGTCAGGCCAAAACTTCAACCTGAAAGAGTGAACCCAAAGGTGTGAACCAAAAGGAGTCACAGTGTGCCTGTGGAACAACGTCTCATTGCTCTTCTAAAAGCACAAATGAACTCTGGTGAAAGCTGTGTCAATTGCTTTGGCCAGCCTGGTCAATTTGTCTAATTTCCAAAGGATGTCCAGATTGCCCACACTAAGCATGAGTTTTATTCTTTTCTGCGTTGTCAAGTGGCCTGGGTCTGTCCATGATGCACGTATCCTGAGGGAGAGCGCTCTATATAGAGACCTCCAAACCAACCGACCGGATGGCGTAATATTAGGAGACAGTGCCTACCCACTCCTACCATGGCTGATGACTCCTTTTCTAACAGCAAATACACCGGCGCAGGCACGCTTCAACACTGCTCATTGCAGAGCAAGATGTGCAATTGAGCGTTTAAATGGAGTTCTTAAGAGGCGCTTTGCATGCCTTAACTACCTGAGAGCGGAACCACAGAAAGCATG